TCAGTCTTTTAACAGTGCGTATACCTTCATTTGTCTGAAAATATGGCCCATGCTTACGAAAATAATGAACTAGTGGACATAATAAAGGGTGTTTCAATAAGGACGCAATATTTCAAGGTTCTATAAAACATGGTATTTCGTAACAAACAATTTGCCATCCCAAGCAAATGAGAAGAGATTGTTGACCATACTTTGTTGTTACGTTGTCCCAAACGCTTTCAGTGTTGTTATTTGTCTCAGGATCTTAGTTATCACAAGTTAAGTACAAGTCACCACCAGAAGCAACGGATTTCAGTACTGAGTCGTTATCCCAAACGTCTTCATTCATCCTTGGTGTGGAGCTGACTATCCCAAGCCAGATTAACGTTGCTATCCTAAGCAACCGAGTTCAATGTTTCAGCCTCATCCCAAACGTCTTTGTTCGTCCTTGGTATGGAGTTGGCTATCACAAGCTAACTCCAGGCGGCTATCCCAAGCAAAGGTCCTGTCAGGCACAATTTGCAGCGCCGGTGAGGCATCCATACTAACATTTATTTAACTTGAACCTAAAACAGATCGATTAGTCGACAATTACTTGATGGTCACGCACCTTCAGAAAAAGAGGCCTGCATGCCACTTTCCAATTTTGCTCCGCGACAAAATGAATCTTGAAGGCGACCGGCCGTCGGCATCTCGCCAACAATGCACATCTGTCGGCCAACCTTCTGTCCTGTTCTCTAATTCTAAATGGTCAGCGATTCCTCGACACTGCTGAAAACGTATAAAGGTGCGCGAAGCCGATTGACATGTTAACGGCTTGGCACGAGAACAAGGAATGAGTGTTTATAGTTTATAGGCGGCCAGAGAGGAGGAAGGTAGGAGGATCGCGGTGCCGCTTCCATTCGCTGCGTGCGCGAACATTAATACCTACTTATCATATACAGGGTGACTTTGAAGTTGAGTCATTAATTTTCAGATAATGATTGTAGAAGGAAGATAAACCAAAATATGTGTGTAAAAATAAAAAAAAAATAAAAAAAAAAATTTACCTTGTTTTATAAAGTATCCTCCCGACAAGTATTTCAGTGCGGACCTGTATTTGATCGTGAGGTCTTGGAGCACCGGCATGCCGTCCATATGTGAGGTCTTAAGTCAAATGATTCACGAACCCATTGTACTACATTAACAAATGCACGAGGGGTTGGTTGCACTCGATTGGGAAACCGATCCGCATAAACATGTGCCATTTTTTATTTCGTTTGAGCCACGCAACAGACACCACTATCCACTACCGACTGACACTGACTGTATACAACTGAATGAAATAATTGTAAAAACATCGTTCCAAATTCTTTGGCTTTTTTGTTTCCGATGCGATGAACCGATAAGGCGAATTATATCCGTTGTCGCCAACCACGAGCACATAATATTATTACTGGGACAGGGCGGTACTCAAACTTCCAAAGGGCTATAACTTTGTTACTTTAATTTTACCAGAAAAATGGTAAAGGAAAAAACATTTCTTTTGATCAGATCTACTCACTGTTAAAATAAATGACTCAACTTCGAAGTCACCCTGTATATAAGAAGGTGCTGATCACAGTGATACTAGACACCTATTAGACATAATAAGTCACACATATTTTCCCTACATCTGCCACGGAAACAGAAATATGATAGATTTGCAGTTTGATATGCAGAGGTCGAAGATTCAGCGTACCTAAGTAAACCTACCTAATCACGATTTGATATCGCCTTTTGAAACGATTTGACTCATCCCTTTTCTTTGAAACCTCCAACGAAGGTGTAGGAAGTATAGAGTCAATCTACTTAATGCAGTTTTTTTAAATTTTGTATTATCGACCATCATGTGCCCGGAGACTCTTTGAATGGTGCTAAATACATCAAAGTGCAGTTTAGCAGATTGGCTGAGTATTCCCTAGACATACCTTACGTATAATTTTAACTTACATTTTCTGGTGTTAATTTTCCATGTATTATCTTTTTTGTAGATTGTGTCTTCTTTTATTTCTTTCTGGAGGTAAAATCTCATGCCAAAAACTCTTGAATAAGTATACTAAGTGACATATAAATCCGAACACCCAGTTTAAATGGTTTTATTTTAATAAAAGTTGGTGAATGTATTTATCTTACTATAAATAACAAGTGAAAAAATTTCCAGCCTTATCAGTTGGACATTCCGGTTTTTATACTGCTTTTTTTAATTCACTAACGCTCTAAAAATGAATATTTCAGCCGCAGTAAAGAATCAACGTTGGCGGATTTTGGTTCTTGACATCCTTTACGATCGGTTACGATGCCTAGAGTGCGGAGACCTGTACGATTTCGTCAACTTAGTGAGTTTGATAGGGGCCGTATAGTGGGACTTCGGGAAGCCTTTTCGGGCAATTGCAGTTAGAGTGCAAAGAAGTGTAGACACTGTGGTTAGGTGTTGTCAGGCATGGCTTCGAGAAGGCCGTACTTAAAGAGCAAGGGGCACGGGACGCCGCCGTAGAACAACAGACCGTGAAGATCCCCGCCTAAGATTATTGGCCTTAAGGGACCGTTTCTCCACTACCAGGTCCATTGCAAATGAATGGTTTGCAGAATACGGAAGACCTATTGGCATGCGAAGTGTTTACCGACCAATGAGAAGTTTTGGCTTGTTTTCATACCGGCCACACTGGGTCCTCCCTTTAACCTGAGAACACCGACGTAATCGCCTTGAGTGGTGCAGACAACGGTCGCTCTGGGATCAGGAATGGAACAGTATTGTCTTTAGTGACGAGTCTCGATTTTGTTTAGGCATGCACGATGGTCGTGCCAGGGTTAGAAGGCGACGTGGTGAAAGGAGGAATCCACAGTTTTTTGTTGAAAGACATGTTCATCACACTGTTGGAGTTATGGTTTGGGGTGCTATGGCTTATGGTTCCAGGTCACCTTTAATCTTCATCAGAGGTAACATGAACGCGCGGCGTTATATCCACGAAGTTCTAGAACCCCATCTTTTACCCTATCTTGACACCCTGGCAGATCCAACTTTCCAACAAGATAGTGCCCGACCACATGTTGCAAGAGTCACAATAGACTTCTTTCAACATAATGATGTCACATTGTTACCATGGCCACCAAGATCTCCCGACTTATCCCCAATTGAGCACGTGTGGGATATGATGGGTAGGAGATTGCTCAATTTGCAACGTCCGCCTCAGACTCTAGAAGCACTTTGAGAGGAGTTGGTGGTTGCCTGGAATGAGATACCACAGGAGGACATTGACCACCTGATCAGAAGCATGCCTAGGCGCGTTGGAGAATGCGTAGCACATCAGGGTGCATCCACACATTATTAAAGGTCAAAGGGCTTTAAAGCAGTGCAATCATTTTGAAATTTTTATCATTTACTTATTATGCTTCATTAAGTACTTATACAAAATTTTATTAAAATAAAACCATTTAAACTGGGTTTTCAGATTTATATGTCACTTAGTATATTTATATCTAAAAATGTTTAGTCAGAACTGTGAATGAGTAATCATGTAACATACTAGATTATTTTTCGTTTTTTCATTATAACCTGCTGATGAGATGCATCTTTACAAAATTTTGACGCTAGGAGCCACGGGACAGTTCCAAGCTACCCATTGTATGACAATATAACGTCCCTGAAGTTAGCTTTAGATTCAGATTCGAAAATGATGAAATAACAGTCGACCAGTTCAGCAGTGAGCTCAAATCGCGGATTTGCTAGAAAACTGGTGTTTTCAGCTATTGAGGGTTGCTTTATGTTAAGTAAGGCTTTTACACAAATTATTCTAGATAATATCCCAAAATTCGATATTACCAGTGGTGGAGTGAACGGGAAAACGAGAACAGGCACTAGTGTGCTATCTTAATAGGAAAAATACCAAAAATGATTTTTTACATGACTACCATTATTAGACCTAATTGTACTACCGCGTATTACTGCATACATGTTAAGCTGAATTAGGGTTATACTTCGACAAACGACACATTTGTGTCGGGTGTACATATAAAACTAAAAAATCGCAGAACCCAAACGAAGAATTCTGCCATCAAGAGACTCATATATGTTGAAGAGACCTCATCTCTATGGCATAGCTTTGCAAAAAATTAGTGGACTACAGGGTGATTCTGCGCATACAATCCCTTAAAACAGAAAAAAATCACAGAATCCGAATGAAGAATTGTGCTACCAACAGACTCGTACATGTAGAGACCTCTTGGGGGTACATTTTTGTCGCATAGCTTTGCTAGAAATCAGGGGACTACAGGGTGAATCTTGGCATACGAGGGATGTCTTTTAAGTTTTGTATATAGAAACATAGTAGGCCGCGCGGATCGAACGTCAGTACTGAATCTTAACCTCACCCCTTAGTAAACTTAAATTCAAAGTTTCACAACAATACGTGCAGTGTTCTTACTAGATCGAATTTTTAAGTGTCATCAAGTCATTAGAAAAATGGAACTCAACCGAGAACACTTTCGCGCCATAATTTATTACAACTTTCAGAGACAATTATCGCAACAAGAATGCCTTGCTGAGTTACTGTCTGTTTTCGGCAACGAAGCGCCATATCAGTCGACAATTTCCCGTTGGTATGGAGAATTCAAACGTGGACGGGTGAGTCTTAGCGACGATCCCAGGGTAAGTGCACCAAAAACGGCAGTCACCCAGGAAAACGTCGATGCTGTGCGCAAACTCATCATTGAAGATAGACATGTGACATATCGCGAGATTGAGGCGTCCTCGAAGATCTCAAAGACCTCAATTCAAAAAATTTTAAATGAAGAATTAGGAGTAAGAAAATTGGTTTCTCGTTGGATACCCCACCTGTTGATTGAAGAGCAGAAAGCAGCCAGGGTTAATTGGTGTCAAAAAACGCTTGACTGTTTCAATTCCGGAAACTCAAAACATGTGTACAGCATTGTTGTGGTGATGAATCGTGGATACTGTTATGAACCAGAAAATAAACGACTGTCGGCTGTTTGGGTGTTCCAAGGTGAAGAAAAGCCAACAAAAGTCATCTGTTCTCGAAGTGTTTCGAAAAAGATGGTCGCAACATTTGTGTCAAAAGCGGATCATATTGCAACAATTCCTCTTAATGAGCAAAGAACTGTTACCATCATTTGTTTGCCAAAAGTCATCACCGAGCTTCAAAAAATGAACCCCGAAAGAAGAATCATCCTGCATCAAGACAATGCAAGCTCGCACACAGCCCAAAAAAACAAGGCAGTATTTAACGGAAGGAAACGTGGAATTATTGGACCATCCTCCGTATAGTCCCGATCTAAATCCTAACGATTTCTTTACTTTCCCGAAAATTAAAAACAGACTGCGTGGTCAAAGGTTCCAATCACCAGAAGAAGCAGTTGACGCATTCAAAAATGCCGTTTTGGATCTGCCAGCAAACGAGTGGAATAAGTGCTTCGAAAATTGGTTCGAAGGCATGCAGATGTGTATTAATCATCGTGGAGAATACTTCGAAAAACAATAAAGTCATTTATCGTGTTGTTTCATTTCCATATGCAAAACTTAAAAGACATCCCTCATAAACATAAGCCTGATGCTTCCGGCAAAAAGAAGTACCGCATGGTCATTATTTCCGCAAGCTAAATGAAATTACAATAGAGGACAAAAAACCCAGAAACGAGGAAATTCTTGAAAATTTGGGCAAAGCCACGTTAGATCTTGCCCAAGGGTGCCACCAGATACCGATGGACCCCAAATCAGTTGAAAAAACCGCTTTTACCATCGAGAACGGGCATTAGAGTATATCCGTATGCCGTTCGGATTAAGGAATGCGGATGATGAACTCCGTTCAGCTTCCCTACGTAGGTAAATTCTGGTTCGTCTACTTAGATGATATTATCATTTTCTCAAAGTCCCTTCAAGAACACATATATCACCTTAAACTAATTTTTGAGACTCTCAGAAAGTACGAAATTCGTATTCAACTCGATAAGACTGAATTTTTACGAAAAGATGTGCCTTTCCTTGGCCACATTATCACTCCTAATGGTATTTTGCCGAATCCAGAAGAAATAAAGGCTATAGAGCATTTCCTTATTTCGAAAACTATTAAGGAAATTCAATCTTTCCCAGGTTTAACAAAGTACTACCATAAGTTCATAAAGGATTTTGCCAAAATATCCAAGCCATTTACAACTTTTAAGTAAAGGTAAGAAGATCAATCCCAATAATCATGAATATCTCCAAGCTTTCGATATCATTAAACGAACTCTTTCTAATTTACCGATCTTATCTTACCCAGACTATTCCAAACAATTTGTATTGACTACCGATACCAGTAACGTCGCTATAGGAAGTGTGTTGTAAAAAACAATAAGCCCGTCGCATTTCATTCTAGAACCCTCAGTAGTGCTGAACGTAACTACAGTACAATCGAAAAAGAATGTCTAGCTATCATCGACTCGTGTAAACATTTCCGTCCATACCTTTTCGGACATAAATTTATTATAGAAACCGATCATAAACCATTAGTTTGGCTTTATGGACTCAAAAAGCCCAAGCAATGCATAATCCGCTGGAAATTAGAGCATAAGATTTTGATATCAGATACGGAAAAAGCAAAGGGAATTATGTAGCCGACGCGCTCAGTCGTGTAGATGACAGCGACGATCTCTTATCTACATTACCGCATGTCGCCGAAAACCCGACGCTCAGCGATGATGAACTTCAAGCAATTCTTCAAACACCTAACTATGATATTACCTATGCGCGCTCCACGCACACGCTTTATTCTTCGCCTGTAAATCCCGTTAACAACATAACATTTTCCGAAGATAAGAACTTTTATCATTTTAAGCATCGTATCGACATAATTTATGAAAAGGTATTCGACGTTAAGACTCTCCCGAATAATACCATCAGATGTACCAGATACGTGAACATACTCACCTGTTGGTTTTGCTAAAAGATTATTGACACACCAATACTCATTATGGGATCTTCTACACAGAGCATACTATTATGGTTGAACTTAATCGCGTTTTAACCAATTATTTTTTAACAAACAAATCACTTTAAATAAAGCCGCATATAAGCTCCTGTATTTAGACAAAGATAAGGCCCTCACTGAAATTTCTTTATATCACTCCCAGACGCACAATGGAATCAACGAAACCCACGATCATTTTAGAAAAATGATTTTCACTCCTGACCTTAGACGCCTAATTACCGACTACATTAATAGATGTGATCTATGTCTCTTAAGCAAATACGAGCGTCACCCTCCAGTTGTTGAACAACAAGGCCCATTCTTAGCCAAAAGTCCATTCAAACATATCTTTCTCGATAATTGAATCTTTTAGTCGTTATACTCAAGCATATCTAATTCAGTCTCGTAACAGCATTGAGGTTTTGAAAAAACTCAAACTCTCTCTCCCACCTTAAGTTTCCGAAAGAAATCACTGCTGATCCAGGTGAATAAAATTCAGCCGTAATAAAAGATTATTGTCTAGCCCAGGGCTGTCCAACTTAATGTGGCCCAAGGGTTACTTAAAAAAAATGCAGTTTGGAGGGCCGCATTATAAAATATTTCTATACAACATTATTACTGAGTTTTAGGTATATGTATACTATACTATATGGTATACAAAAACAGTTTTTCTATTATTTTTATTTATTCAAAAAATATGAAATTACAAAAAAATCAGTGGGACATTTGAGGATGTTGGTTTTCTAATACTAATGCATCAATATTAACATTAATATTTGTTGTTGATAAACGAAGTAACTGAGTAAGTGACTTATCAGAGAGGGAACATCTATACTTTGACTTGATAAATTTCATGTTGGAAAAGCTGCTTTCGCAAAGATACGTGCTTCCCATCATTGATCCCATTGTAAGTCCTAAGTTTCGCAAGTTGGGGTATCGTTCTCCTGGCAGTAACTTAAAAAAGTCCATGCCAGTTTCAGTTCTTCCTTGGTAAAAAGGATCTGATTGCAAATCACACAATTACAGTTGAAGGTCTGCTCTGCTTACGTTCTCAACAGAAATTGTTAGTGGCTGAGTGAAAACTGAAATGTCGCTTTCGATTTTTTTAAAGTCACTAAGTCGATTTTTGAATTCTTCTGCAATTGTGTCAATGTATTTTATATGAGGTAAATATGAAACTTCCTCAAAATCCTTCATTTATTCGAAATGTTCTTTACAACTTGGAAAAAATGAAAAATAATTTTTTGTAATGAATTTTATTCTTAAACCCATTTATGTGTCCAAATAAGTTGGCAATATTCTGCTGTTTTCCTTGTAGCTTCAAATTCAATTCGTTAAGGTGAGATGTCATGTCTGTTAAAAATGCAAGGTCTGCTAAAAATTGTGCATCTGCCATTTGATTTTCCAGTTCCGTAGTGTCGGACTTCACTTCATTTTTAAGGAAAATAGGAATTTCCTTGCGTAGATCGAAAAATCGTTGCAAACACTTTCCGGCGCTTAACCAACGAATATCGGTGTGAAGTAACAAGTCCCCATATGTAACATCCACTTCGGCCAAAAAATCACGAAACTTTCTGTGAGTCAAAGCAGGATTGCCCCCTCTAACAATATTAGTTATTTTAACAGCCACTTTCAAGACATTTATTTGACGTAAAGATTTTCCACATAAGCTCTCTTGGTGAACAATGCAATGTATCATAGGACAGTTGATGCTGTTTGGTTTAAATAGTCCTGCAAATCCAATTTCAGTCCCTGTCATAGCTCTGGCGCCATCAGTGACAATACAGGAACATTTATCAAATCCCCCGTAGTCTGACACCAACTTATTCACAGCTTCAAAAATATCTGTACCCTTGGTTGTACCATGGAGAGGAATAAGGTCAAGCATCTCCTCTGCTACACTGAAGTCGTCTTGAATAGTTCGGATAAAAATTACAAGCTGGCTAATGTCAGACAGATCAATGCTTTCATCCAGGCATGGCGAAAAATATTTACATTTTTCAACCACGTCACGCAATTTTTTGGATACATGTTCATTGATATGATCCTGCAATTGTTTGATGCGATACTGAGACTGTTTCAAATTTTTCGGCAACTTTTAATTCACTGAATGGTTTCGAAAAAGATTGTTGCTTAGACTAAGTCATTTCCATTTATTGTTATACCACCACTTTACTGCAAAAAGAAGATAACTCCATTTTTCTACTTTTCGACTGGCGTATGTTTTCACACTTACATGTACTTAGGATGTTCTGTCGAATAAGGGTGAATGTAGTACAGTATTATGACATGAACATGTTAATCCTGCTCCGCAGAACATACTAAAATATAGGTAATGTGAAAATTTATCAAGCTGTTTGATCTGTAGTAGCCTATGAAGTAGGAATTACAAGGTTGAAATCTTTTATCAAAATCCACCATTTTGTTTTTCATAAAATCTCAATGTAGCTAGTGTCACTCACACCGCTAAGACGAATCCAACGACACCTTATATGTGAAAATCCGGGCAGCCGTTTGGCCTGTAGGTGGAAATATGCACGTGATCCCTATCAACCCAAATGATACTCACTCTCCGCGTGACGTCATGCGCGCCGGCGTACGAAAATTGAACAGCGTAGTATGCGGCCCTGTACGGGTCTAATCAGTAAGTGACCTAACCTGCGGTGGCGGCGGTAACAAACCAGTTCGGTGTTGTCGCTCGGCATATGCATAAGTACGAGTATTATTGTATTGTAATGGCGGATACTGAATTGTTTATAAGTAGGGGAGACCGGGGCTAGTTGTCACAATTTTCAGTAATTCTTTTTTTTATTCGATCTGAAGCGTTATATGCACATATTTGGTGCATAACTAATATGGTTTATCCTTTGGGAACACTATGTAGAAACGATAATCTATTGCTTCCTGTGTGTTGATATTTATCAGACTTACAGTTTCATCGCCGAATTTAAAAAATGTGGTTTGAAATGTACCCGTGGAAAATGAAAAAGGGAGGTATGGAATTTCCAATAACTACTGCACTTGCTAAGGTAACAAGAGTTCCTCTTTCTGATGAATCTATCGAACCAACCTGTTTGAATCCTCTTCTGGCAACAACGCGGTCGGGTCTTTGGACAGTTGTAATCCCAGTTTCGTCCATGTTCCAGATTTCGTGAGGCAGAAATTTGTTTTTCCATAACTGAAGCTAAATTATCAAAAAATGCGTTGACGTTCGTTTTATTGAAACTACTGGCTCTTGCTGAACTAGTTGCTTCCGGGTTGCGAATAGACAGTACAGGATGACGTTTTAGAAACGCACTAAACCAGTCAGGACCAGCTATTTTATGGTGGTTCCAATTTTCCGGCATTTTCAAGGAATTAGCATTAGCAAATTCATATGTCAGTCCACGTACTTTCTTGGGTGATAATCCAAAATAAATATCAGATGCTTTGAGTACATATTCCACTAGATGATTTTCAAGTTCAGGCTCAAATACTAAATGATTTTTGATGTAGCCAACTGAAATTGACGGCGCAACAACTCGATCATCGAGTAATTCAGATTCTGGAATTTTCTTACAGTATCTTGCTAAAGTACGGTAATTTACAATGAAGTCAGCTGCCGCTTTTCTTATTGAGGATCCTAATCTCACAAACCTAGCAGCTCTTAAAAGTACGTCAGGCGGCGCTTTACCCTTCTCAGTCTTACTTTTGAAATTTCGAACCATGCTTATGTAACCTGAAAATATTAAAAAAATACATTATATACATATACCTGCGTAGAATGATGTGCACTGCTAACCGTCTAGTGTGAGGGCTGGCTGTCACATGTGACAAGAGGCCCCCGCTAATTTGAGCCAACCTGCCCCACTAGATAATTAATTTTTAAGGTTAGATAGCGTCACTAAATTAACAAATTCAAAGTCAATACTTAAGTTAAGTCGTATTCGGATTATTGAAGAACAAAATAAATTCAACAGTTCTTTTTATTATCAAATGTAGTCTTGAAAACACAAATTATGTGGCAAACGAAAAATTTACTCAGTTTAGGCGATTTGTTTATTTTTGTGCGTGCGACCTTAATCTACCAACGACAACTTTCGTACTGAATATAAGTGTTCTGCGCGGACGCAGAAATGATGTGTAGCGCGCCAGGCAACTACATCTTGCGGAGCTGCTGAAATTTAACAATTGTGACAACCAACCGATGTGACAACCAGGCCCGGTCTCCCTACAATTTAATCTAAACCACCTGTTTGGCAAAGTAAACATCCGCAGCACAGATATTTCACTTAGGATGTAGTCAAACGGGCATTCGAGCGTACTAAAAAAATTTGGTAGGGTATCATCTCAGTTCTTCATACAACTGAAAAAATTCAACAGTTGTTTCTCTGTTTTTATTTATTTCGTGCACACCATCTCGAATGTTCAAGACCCTGCATTTCAGAATCTGACTGTCTAGTAAAAATATCAAATCGTCGTCCATAGTTTGGAACTTCTGATAATACGTCGGACCATTACAAGAGCTCGCGTGTCACTGTGGACACCGCCGCTCGCCGCGCCCGCCTGGGCTCTCAATATGGACGCAGATTTTAAAAAAGAAGTTATTTTCAAACAAACAACTTATTTATCTATACTCCTATTCCTCGCTATCTGAAATGGTGGTAAGGTTCATGATAATCTGAGGTCATATGAAAATGGTTAAATAACATTTAACTATTTTTATTGTCAAAAGATCTAATAGTGAAACATCACGATAGAATCTGTTTCTGTGTTTACATCATTACACAAATTAGACGCTCCAGAATTTTGTATTTTAGTTTCAAAAATGTGTACAATTCTTCAGGTGCGTTTCTAATTTAACAATATTTCAATAGCATCGTTTTAAATATGCGAACTACTCTGGGACTACCTCCGTCAAACAGTACATAACCGACCAGAAATATAGCTCTGTTACTTAAACAGGGGTTGTCTGACAATTCAGATGTTCGTCTAAAACAAAAGAAATAGTGATATCTTCTGTGATATGAAATCAGAAAAAAATCAAGCCGGTACTATAGTTGTCAGAGGACCAAAGAAGCCATCACAATACAGCAGAGCGGTGTCCTGGGATTTAGGCTTCTGCCTGCGCGGCTACTTCGGTAAGCTAGAATAATTTTCATAATTTTTTTTATATATTATATTTAAACATACATATTGTAGATGTGCCTACTACGGAAAGGTCTATTACCCAGTGCTTTTCAAAAAAGGTCCCTCTGCTTGACATTTGTTTCAATAAATTTACTGCTTTTTCTCATTCTTCTCCAATATTTATGTATTATGTATTTTGGATATTATAGTCATATGGCATGTAGATCACGAAAAACCATTTCGTTCATTTTCGTCGCCCTGTCTGTTCGCTAATCTTACAACCGCTCGGATTCCAATACAGTTCTTAAACATGTTGCTACAATATCAAGGCTAGTTTTTTAAAATTGGTCCAGTGGCAGTTAGAGAAAGAGGCCAAAAACAATAAAAATAAAAATCGCTCAAACATTGTTTTTTTTACATTGCAGACAAACAAATTGACAACAAACAGTCTGTGAGACTGACTACTTCTAACGCTGTTTCCATTTTCAGAGTACACTAAAATTGCACATGTAATTGCAGCCTATGTACCTAAAATTTAGAACATACTTGACACTCTCTGAGGGCCGGCAATATCTTCTAACGATGTTTTCTCCTGTCAGTTTGGAGACCATGTCTCTAAAATTTTAATATACACAAGTTGCAACTGAAGTCCTAGATCTAGATACAACGTCTTTACCAAAATTGGGGAGCCAAAACATTTATGTTTGTATAAAAACGATAAAATATTACAAAAAAAGTATCTTTCCCGTATTTCCTCTTCCATCGTTGTCTACAGCTCGAAGACTAGATTGTAGTGCACAGAATGTGTAACTAAAATTGTACATAAAGTTACATCACACTGTGTATCTACAATCGATCAGACTAGGTATCATAAGCTGGTGCGGCTATCGTTGTCACGAGAAACATTCCTCTATAACGTCATTCCGTTTCTTGGGTTCGAAGACTGTGTCTCACGGAGTACGGTACCAAGAAGCTGTAACAGGTCATCCAGTGACAGGATTCTCAGTATCAAAATCAGTGAGACTGAACAGATGAACGTCAATCTATATTCTAATACTTCCTCATATATAGTTATATCCGTCTCCGTGCGTCACAGAATGTGGTACACAAAAGTGGCAATTAAAATCATTCATATGAATGCACAATCCTGGGTCGCAACAGTCGGTGAAGCTGGATATCATACGCAAAATGTTTTCCTTCAACCAATTTTACATTTTTTTCCTCTGGTTTGAAGACTGTGTCTCACATCTTCTGCTATGCAGAAAGTGCAACTAGTCAAATATCTAGTTACAACATTCTGATATGCAAAAGTCGGTTAGACTAGGTATAACAGCCATGAAGGATCACAAAAGAAACATATTTGTCCACAGTATGATCTATAATTCATAATTTGAAGACCGTGAATCACAGAATATGCTACACAAAAGTGGCAACTAAAATTATTCATATAAATGCACAATCCTGGGTCGCAACAGTCGGTGAAGCTGGATATCATACGCAAAATGTTTTCTTTCAACCAATTTTACATTTTTTTCCTTTGGTTTGAAGACTGTGTCTCACATCTTCTGCTATGCAGAAAGTGCAACTAGTCAAATATCTAGTTACAACATTCTGATATGCAAAAGTCGGTTAGACTAGGTTTTAACAGCAATGAAGGATCACAAAAGAAACATATTTGTCCACAGTATGATCTATAATTCATAATTTGAAGACCGTGAATCACAGAATATGGTACACAAAAGTGGAAACTAAAATTATTCATATAAATGCACAATCCTGGGTCGCAACAGTCGGTGAAGCTGGATCTCATACGCAAAGCGTTTTCTTCTTATCAATTTGACATTGTTTTCCTCTGGTTTGAAGACTGTGTTTCACATCTTCTGCTATGCAGAAAGTGCAACTAAGTCAAATATCTAGTTACAACATTCTGGTACGCAAAAGTCGGTTAGACTAGGTATAACAGCAGTGAAGGATCACAAAAGAAACATATTTGTCCACAGTACGATCTATAATTCATAATTTGAAGACCGTGAATCACAGAATGTGGTACACAAAAGTGGCAACTAAAATTATTCATATAAATGCACAATCCTGGCTCGCAACAGTCGGTAAAGCTGGATATCATAAGCAAAATGTTTTCTTTCTTCCAATTTTACATTTTTTTCCTCTGGTTTGAAGATTGTGTCTCACATCTTCTGCTATACAGAAAGTGCAACTAAGTCA